GTTAAGGTGGGGCCCCAACGGGGGATCAAAGTTTTACATGAGAAAATATCGGGAAAAAACTTGTAAAATCTTCTTCTCAAGAACAACAAAACCTTGTTTAGTCATATTGATATGTAAGAATCCTCAGGTAGTATAGATTCAAATTTGTTCAAATTATGACACCGGGGGTAGGGTGGGGACACAAGAGGGATCAAAGTTTTACATACAAATATAGGAAAAAACTTCTTCTCAAGAACAACACAGCCGTGTTTAGTCATATTGATATAGAAGCATTCTCAGGTATTGTAGATTCAAGTTTGTTCAAATCATGATCCCTGGGGGTAGGGTTGGGTCACAAAGGGGATCAAAGTTTTACATAGGAATATAAAGGAAAAAAAATCTTTGTCTCAAGAACAGCAAAGCCATGTTTAGTCATATTGATTTGGAAGCATTCTTTGGTAGTGTAGATTAAAAGTTGTTCAAATGATTACCCCTGGGGATAGGAAGTGGCCACAATGGGGTATCAAATTTTTACAAAGGAATATATAGGAATAAATCTGTAAAAATCTTCTACTCAAGAACAGCAAAGCCATTTGTTATATTGATATGGAAGCATCCTCAGGAAGTTTAAGATTCAAGACCCCCCCCCCCGTAAACTGTTTCCTGGCCATTGTGCTCAGGTGAGCGATGTGGCCCATGGGCCTCTTGTTGATTGATTGTGAAGGAATTTTTGCTTCCTTTGTAGTGCCTTAGTACCCCCCCCCCCCTTGATAAAAAAAGGGTCTGGTTGTGCTCCCCACTCCCAAACAGAAATTGCTTCATGGACCTGCATTCAATAGACAATTGGGAAAATTCCATTGCAATTCCAATATTCCATACTCAATGGGCTACGATGAAGACACCATTTAGTACACAAAAAATACCATGCTTCCATTTGACCAATATCATGAATAAATGTGTAAAAGAAAATTGTCTCGCTTTCCTCAGACTCTCGCTCTAGAGACTCGGCACAAAGTTTTGAGAGCGAGAGTCTGAGGAAAGCTAGACTAGTAAAATATGTGCTAAATTTTTTACTTATCGATATATCTATCAATATTCATTCATAATTAAGAGGACTGGAGAAAAAATGTTACAATATCAAGTTCCTATATAATTAGCTGCAAGTACACCGGTATGATTAGGCAGTGTTTGTATGCTGCAATTATTTATTGGGAGTTACAATTCGACCTAAATACCATTTTCAAAACCAGAAAAAAAAAAAAAAAACACACAGACACACAAAATATTACATAATTTTTTTTTCGGAGAACATTATTTAAAACACACACACTTCAAATGGTTGGTCCGACACTCAGTCGAAATGATTAGTTTAGTAGTTCATTTTTTTCTTACTATTTGCTGTTTTGAATTTTCGTTTCCCGACTTTGTAAATTTCATAATTACTAATGCTTCCTTTTTTGTAATTAATTAGTCAATACTTGCTACCAGTGAAGCAATCAGGCATTGTTTCACCAGAAAAAAAATCCAGATGGCCTTACTGTTACAAAGGTATCGATCAATGTTCATCAATAATTAAAAATACTGGGAAAAACTTAATACGGTAAATTCATCAGGCAAAAACAATCGGAATGGGTATAATCATATCCTTTATGAGTTCGTGAGTGCTGTTTTATGCACCGGATATAAGTATTATCGTATCATTGACCAAGGAAAATATTACGAAGGTAGGAAGTTTTTTTGTTTTAATTAGATACAACGAATGGGGAAGGGGGGGGGGGGACGTCTTTTCGGGAAATAAATATAAAGCATGCGTTTTACTAGAATTAAATATTGTTGAACTGAAACGTTGAAATTTAAAATTCTTTTTTTTTTTTTAGATTTGTCCTTTAGTGTTTCATGGGGCTTTATAAAACTTTGAAAAGTAATATGATTCATTGTCAGCACTTAATGTAAAAATTTCAAATCTTGCTAATATCTTTTACAGAATTGTTCACTGGCAAGAAACCACATAATAGTGTTAAGGATTACAGTTGAATTTTACATCTAAATGCAAGTTGATCCAAAAGGATTTATTTTTTAATCTAACGATCGCAAATATATATATATATATATATATATATATATATATATATATATATATATATATATATATATATATATATATATATATATATATATATATATATATATAATACGTTTTCCATTTTAATATTTTGGATTTAAAAAGAACTACCCCCCCCCCCCCGAGAAAAAAGGAGCCATAACTTTGAATTGTAATTTCTAATTAGCTTTATACAATATAATTTAAGCAAAGCAATTAAGCCACGAATTTGAAATGAAATAATGTTGATATTTACATGCACTGCTTGGATACAAGTTCATTTAGATATGAGAAATTTTTCTAAACTATAATTAGGAACTGTTCGGATGAGAACATTGTGAGGAAACATGTTCCTTTAGAAGACCAAATGGTTTATTAATGAATTTTTCATGTATTATTTACTTAATTTGTGAATTTACGGTAATCTGGCCTGTTTCTTTCTTTTGATAATATATTACGTTGACACAAAGGTAAGACACATCGGAATTAATGAAACAATCTAACGTTCCAATAACGATTATGTGAAAATTCTATTGTGCTGATATTTTGTACATTTTTTTTTAAATTTAGCTATGTATTGTTTTTAAGAACAAGGAAAAGAGAGTACATAAAAAATTTCCAGTGGTAGATCCTCTTGCTCTTCGACGCAATTCCAGGAAGTCACAGAACACATCTCCTGCATCTAGACAAGGAGTTTTGTCAATATAGTGCAGCTCTTGTAAATTTTGTTAAATGAATTATGGTACTCAAAATTGATCACGCGAAACAAGTTGTCTTATTATTGTTTGAATGTTCATTTGATTAAATACAGAAAACAGTAATATCCTCAAGTCTTCGGGGGTTATCTAAGGAGGGACACATTTTCTTCTCACACTTACGGGAACTCTTGAGGCAAGTATAATGAATTAGAGAGCATATATAAGCACGTGCAAAACGCTTATCATGTTCTCTTCTTTGTCTGAGACTACTAATAGTTACATGTATCCCTGCTTCTGTCGAAGTCGACCGTCATGGTAGCTGAGTTGGTATAGCGCTGTTTCGTGATCAGAAGGTCGTGGGTTCATACCCCGGCCGCGAATAACCTAGGAGTTGATATAAAAAAAAAAAAATAGGCCGCAACTGTTCCTTAGCCAAGCGCTCAGCACTTTGAAATAAAAGTTGCGGGACTTACAAACCGAGGCCCCGTGTCACGACAGACGTTGGCACAATAAAGATCCCTCGCTGCTCAATGGCCCACATGCCGAGTAGAGGCCCTTCGCAGGTATATAGTGACGTCTCTATATGAGTAAAAAATTCTTGCTTCGGGACGTAAAACAGCATACAATCAATCAATCAATCAATCAATCTGTCGAAGTTGTAATGGAATCTATCAATCAATCAATCTGTCGAAGTTGTAATGGAATCTAAGACGTTCTCCGCAGAACGTTAGATAGACCAAATGTGTACTGAAGAAAAAAGCACTGAAACTTAAAAAAATTGAATTGACAGAGACAAAAGTTTCCCTTTGCTCCCACTTTCATCGGCTAAATGACCCCAGGCTTTAATTACTAGTATGACGTAGAAATCAACCTTCAAGAAGCTTAAAGTGTTTTCTGATGCTGCTTTATCTTATATTCTCATGCCTAGCATTTTCATTTCACCAAATTTTCTGCATCTTCTAGGAGTTGTCAAATGGACAGATTCTGGTAAGGGAAGAAAAACGAACTTGCTGTATGTTAATTATGTTTGATAAGAACAGTGTTTTTTTGGTTTTTTTTTAAATTGTCTGATATACGACCTAACAAGAATAATAGCGTACGATGAACGTACTACGCCAAAGAAACGAGTTCCGCTGTTTATTCTTGTGACACCCGAGAAACTCACGACAAGTTGTTTGAGAAAATAATCGTAAATAAACTAGTGTTTGAGACAATAATTGTAAATAACTAGTGTTATATTGACAATTGTTCTATACTGGCAGAATCGGTGCATTCATAAAAATACAGCAAACGACATCATTTACTACATACTAATGAGGGGAAACAAATAATTCACGTCTGTAGGAGCATTTCGTGAGAATTCTTACTGGTGGTGTGTGACCCTCTAGTAAAAAGATACGTTTTCAATACAAATGATCTTATTAATGAGTCTTCAATATAAATGACCTTGTTAATGAGAGACCATTTGTGTTTTTAAGAACTTTACATAAAATTGACCTGGCATTCTATAATAATAATTTTTTTCCGATTTTATTCCCCATAGAAAGTTTTATACAAAAAGGCCTCTTTTTGAGGCGAAAAGAAGTTTGACATTGATAGTTTTCCTGAAACTTGCGACCAGTTTCGCCAATGAACCATGCAAAGCTTCCCGTAAAAATATTCCGAACAAATATTTTTCTTCAAATGTAACACAGTATCTAACCCAAACTGTTTGAATGGATTTTTTTACTATTTTTGCTTGTTTCATAATAATAAAGATGCAGAAATAAATTACTAGAAAATAAATTTCAACCAAAAATATGTTTCCACTTCCGTTCCTTTACATATACCGTGTATATTGATGAATAGCTTCAATCATCATACACCTATGATAAATTAGTTATCAAAAGTCTATTTAATTTGTTAAAAGAAATATGATCTATTCAGACACTTGAGTAAGGAACCGATGGCGGATGGATTTGAGGAACTGCATAGTGCGGGTGCAAAAAAGCATAAGATTTTAATTAAAATGACAATTACGTAGTATTTCGATATTTCAAGAAAAGTTTGAAACCAGTAACATCCCAAATCTTATAAATAACTGCGACTCTCGTATCACTAAATAGCCTTCATTAATGAATAACATAACACAATCGATCTGGTATATTACAAAGAACAAACTGTTATCAATATTTGATAGTGTTCCGTGAAACTAAATCGCAGTATAGACAACATGGTGTTCTGCTTGCTTCAAACAGTCCGTATAACCTTTGTTAAAATTGGCACATTATCAATCAAATGGTTAACCAATCGGTCTGCTTCCAGCAACTAGAGGATTTTGCATTGTGATAATGTTAAAACAAAAATGATGTGGCATGTCTTTGAATGTGATGGTCATTAGAATTCTAGAAAGCAAGATGAGGTAACTTGATAGTGCACTGTTGTAGTCGTTTTCCATTCATTTTGTACATCAAACACGATACATTTACTATCTGTATTATATCATACTTTTTTTTTGCTTTAATACTGAAGAAAACTGTTTTATGCATCGAATAATGTAAACTTTGTGTCTAATTGAAATTTTCAAAGCAGACCTCATTTTATCTCTTTAAGGGATAAATTAATCAATCAAGCCGGAATTTGAACCCGTAATAATTCAAATTTGTAATCGCCCGGCTCATAACATCGTTCAGCGGAGCAAGTGTCCGCGGATCCAAATTATCAAAGAAGTAATAGCTTTTAAAAAAAAAAAATTCCCGTCTTCAGGAACAACCTTAAAAAGTTAACTGACATACATGAAATATGGAAATAACGAACAGTATTCAAGCTCAAAGTCCATTAAAACAATACAAATCGGGAGCAGAGCAAACACGGACCTCCAAAAACATCAGAAGTGGGATCAGGTGCCATGAAGGAGTGAGCATCCCCTGTCGACCGGTCACACCCGCCGTGTGCTCCTTGTCATGCTCGGGAAATAATGGAAAAATCCGTCGACAATTCAGTGTAAATAATGGCCTAACAATTAGTATGAAAAACGTCAGTCAGCATAGACTGTATTTCCTGACAAGGTTATTGTATCGACCATAGAAATTACGAAATGATGTTTTTAAATGAGACTGTTGATATTTTTGTGTTATAAACTTGTTTGTCAATAACTTACCTCGTTTTAGAAATTGTTCATACGTAGAGCATGCTCTTGCGTATCGAATCAACTGAAAGATATACACCCCATATGCAGGTTATAAGAGTATATTGCTGCATACGTAAGGGAAGCTGACGATTGAAAAGTGAAATTCATCACGTTTATCATAAAGCTTTGTTGTTAGATTACTATTAACGTCTTTTTCTGGTGAAATATCCAAATATGAAACAGATGTGTCAGACTCTGTGGTATCTTTTATTTCAAGCTCACTGGGATATATCGTGTCGACATATGAATGGAAATAACTATTGTTAATTGATAATACGTCGTCGATATATCTGAATGTCGAGTTGAAGGCCACAGCAAGAAATTTTTTTTCTCATTAGAAGATTTTGAATAAATTCTGCTTCATATGAATATAAAAATAGGTCTGCTAACAACGGTGTGCTATTGGTACCCATAGAAATTCCAACAGATTGTTGGAAGACGTGGTCTCTCAAAACATAGATATTGTGAATCAGAAACTCAAGTACCTTTTTAATATCAACTTCAGAGTACTTGTGTATCAACTTCAGAGTACTTGTGTGTGCACTCAGAATGTTTTTAAACAAAATGATACATGTATTAGGCGTATAATTATTCTTAAGTAGTTCTTGGTTTTGTATTTCTGCAGAAAATTGGAGATCATTATCACGGTACTTAGACTTTATAATTGTAATGTTTACAAGGAAAAAAACATATCGAACTCGTTCTATGCCTATAATGATCTTCCCCATAAAAATCAAAACGAAGAATTGGACAATGCATTTAAGCATGGATATTGAAGTACAGAGTATCTCCATAATTGAATTCCACACAAACACATAGAGAGCATATTAATCATAACACTGTTAGACATGAACAGGTAACAGAAATATAAAAGTATGACTAAAATTACATTAATTTCTGAAAAGATTTTCCATATGGCAAGTGTGTAGTGTGCATAGAGTATTTGGTAATTTGGAATGAATGAGGCTTGTTAGGGAGGGCGTTTCGACTTTCATTATAAGCATCTTTAGATTCTCGTTCAAAACATACATGACCAGAACATTTAGTTGGAGTGCGGTTTTGAAATGAATCTCTGCATTCAATTGATTTACAGTTGTACATTATATATATATATATATATATATATATATATATATATATATATATATATATATATATATATATATATATATATATATATATATATATATATATATATATATATATTTAACTCAAGTACTCTAGTGACTTCTGAATGTTACTTCATACCCAATATGATTTTCCTCTGCCTTGAGTATATAAAAATAATCGATTTAAAACGTGCAAAAATCATTGACCTTCACAAAATGATTTTCTGCAAATTTGTATACGCAATCAATTAAAAGGTTAATAATGACTTTGATAACGTAAAGAATTTATAGGAGAGTTCTTTGAAGCTCCAACACTGCTATTTACTTACCCAGTTCTTTTAAAAACTCATCAAAGTTTTCACTTCGATCGAGTTTCCATTTACCAGATTTTCACAAACATTAGCCCTACCTTATAAAGATCCTCACATCGTCAGGGGTCCTGATGCACTCTTGCACGTGGAACCCCTGACAAACTTCATCTGGTATTTTGCGGGCTTACTGCAGCAATGTTTTTCGGGGGGAAATTACGAATCTTGATTGTTTTTCTTATCTTTCGACCAATCACATTAACTTTTTCGGCGACAAGCAACCTGTAACACGTGCATTGAGGTGTCAACTGTTTACGTATCATGTCATTTTATGAAAGCCCCAATCTGATTGGTGCTTCTCGATGAGAGAAGCGACCCCGAAAATATCGAATGAAGTTTGCCAAGGGTCCCAGGTCCACGAGTGGACTAAGGACCCTTACGTTGTGAGGATGCCATACAAAAGACAACGCAAAACAAAGAAAACCTAAAAAAAAAAACACACAAATTAAAATGTTTGCATGCACAAAAAATATTTCTGTTAATCATGAAAATATAGAAACGATTTTTAGTAGCGAGAGAAGCCTGAGGCGCGAAGCGCCGCCGCACTTTGAGCTCTTAAGGTGTCCCTACAGTATTAAATTTGGCTGAATATTCTTACTAAAAATGTTCAACTTTGAGTAGGCAGTATAAATTCAAAACAAATTTTTGAGCATATTCCTTTTCAATTTTTTTATATAATTTTAGTATCAAAAAATACATAGCCATCCAGCAAAGCACACAAGTTCGTTTCGCTTCTCAAGCACGTGCTTAAAAATCAAGTCATTGCAAGATCACTTTCTCTTCAAAGTGCATCAAAATTGGTACCGTATGATTTATATACAGCACGCACAGAATTAAGCACGCCCAAAATTTTAATGGTTCTGTTACAATCAGGTAGATTACGTATCATTTTCATCTCATTAAAAAAAAAACAGTCGAAGTCTCATGCAGAAATGCCCGAAATGGTAGGGGAGATTCAGAATTATTTTGTTTCGGCCATGGTTTGAAGTGAACCACGAACGTAACAGTTGTGCCACCTTAGAAAAATGCCTGGGGGAAGAAAAAAAATTGGACTGCACCTTGATCCCAATCAATTTTTCCCACAGTAACCTCTGTACTCACAATGCACCGCAAATAGCTTTTTTCTATTGCTGCAGTACTGCTCGTCGGCTTACGTTCTCGCGATAACCAAAAAAAGTTCACAATAAAAAAGTAACTCACCTTGCTTCTATTGAAATTACAGAGAGTTAGTGGATATTAAGATGTTCTTTGTTAAATATTTGCCTTTTTTCCACATCGTTAGAAATCAACTAAAATACAACTTCATGTGAGACATGTTCCGGATGTATGGTTTGAAGAGGTAGACATAAGTTATAAGTTTTAAATGAAAAGGTATCCAGTAATGAATTATACACAACTGCACTCTCCCCTATGTTCGCATCGTCAACATACTATACTACAGTATCATTATAGTTGTAGCTATTATCTGAAAACTATGCAGTATATGAGTTTTTGACTTTGGCCTTTGATTACCTGGTCTCATATTCGATAGGAATCTTATCTACGTCACAGGAAATTATAATATAAAATTCCATTGCAAAAGTTAAAGGACTTTTTCAAATCCAGAAACTAAGGTGTTCCACATATACTAGAAAGAATGACAGAAAAAAGGACGGATATCTGAAGAACAGACAAAGGGACAGACTCAAATTAATACCCCCACTTTTAGTGAAAGCGGAGGACAAGAGGACTATTCTTTTAAGATCAGTATTTTAGTTTGGATGTCATAGAAAATGACTGCACTATACAAGTGCTTTACTCTATATTCATACGAGTAACAGCCCATTTTCTTATATTTAAAAAATATTTTTGAAAACATTGTACTTTTTCCTTTTAAGAATGTAAAATAGAATGGATGGATAAACATCACCGACAATGACCAAAGTAACGCAATGTCGATGTCTAAGTCATCAGGCCTCTATCTCCAGTGATGAGCACCACGCCATCATTCAGAGTGACGACACCCACAGCATTCAACCAGACGACTCCATCGAATTTCTCTCTTCTCAGGTAGACATTCTGTATAAAATGTATTAATATTAATCTATACACTATATGTGAATCAAGGAAGTCAGGTCTGCAATTTCAGAGGAAAAGAAAAAAAAATTATGTCTGCTCCAATATACGTGATTGAATTATGTTATTCAGTTAACTGTAGGGTGACTGAAGTCTACTGAAAAGTGATTTAATGGCAGAGTTCTATCATCACTCAGCCACCTTTCCAGTCCTTTCTGTGAACATTCAGTTAACTGAATAGCGCAGTTTCATCTTGTGATAATTTGTTCAGTTTGCTGTTATTGAAATTAAAATTTAATTATTTTTTTACTTAATCACCTTCAAGGTTATACTCGTGAACGAACTGCCAAAACGACCCTCCAAAAGTGCTCTAGTTCAAAGAAAATATGAGAAACCAAAAGCGGAAGTCGAAAGAAAAAAAATCTCCCGTTGTGTGGCGCTGATAGCTTTCTTATTGCTTGGAGTCTGCTTTGCACTCATGGGGGTTTCCTTCGCCCTCACTTCTACGATTGACGAAATGGGTGAGTTAATAAACTTCTGCCCCAATAGACGTTTTGTTGAGTCATCAGAAAAATAACGTCATTTGGCGTTTTGTGATAGTTACTTATGAAATTTATTACATTCATGTAAAGAATCTTAAGGTATGTCACTCGTCAGCTTTTGAGAAAAGTTAGAGCAGAACCTCTAACTTCAAAATTATTTATTACAGTTAAATTTTTACGTCATATTTGAATTAAACAATTTAAATTATACAATATTCGTTTTAAAAACTGCTCAAAAATTTGTAATGGAACCAGATTTATGGGAGGCTATTTCTTGTGGTAGAAGGATATTGAGAAGAATTTTTTTTTTTCAAATCTACACATTTCTTTGAATTAATATCTTAGAACTATAACCCTAAATATTTTAGCAGAGATTTTCCCCCCATTATTAAATGCCTGGAATATTAAATATAGGTTTCAATTAATATTTTTAAAACAATTTTTACACAATTACTCGACAAACTCTGCCAAGAAATTAAGATATATTTAAGAAGTCAAGATAAAAATTACATTGTTTTCCGCCTGAAAATCGCATATTTTGACCAATAGCTCAAAATTTACATAACTGACAACGACTTTTTCTTAATACATTCTACCGATCAGCACTTAAGACATAAAAAGCTTGATACAAAAATATTTTTATGCCTATCTAGATCTTTAATACCCCGAATCTAGCGCAAAAAGGTCACACAATACTTTTTACATAAAACTTTGATATGAGACTTAAAAACCAAATTGTTCTAGTTTAATCTAGAGAGGAAAGTTTTCTAACGATTTCATTTGTGCATGTAACAGTCTAATGAAAAACATTGGACCACTGTTGTCTTGGAAATACGCTGGTCTGAAAAAGGAATTTCATTTATAAACCTCTATTACATTTTTAGGGAATTCTTAAGGTAAGGTTTGACGATGACTTGACCTTTTCTTTAAAAAAAATGCTAGAATTAGCTTTGCAGTTTTGAAAAAAAAATGATATGAAAATGTGAGAAGTTGTCAATACAGATAAACAGTCAACAGATTAACACTAAGATCTATCAGAAAGGCTTCATGGTGCTTTGGTTCAGGTGAGCTAATCGAAGCTTCAGCAAAAAGACAGTAGTGTATTCTGACTGTCTCAGACTAACATATTCTGTCAGAAAAGCTTTCTTGTCCCCTTTTGTTTAGAAGAAGTAATAAAAATTTGTAAGAAAAAAACGAAATAGTAATTCTTATTGTTCATCAGAATATGTCTTTAATTCTTCATTTTTTTTACTCTCATTTTTGTCAAGAACTGTTTCTTCGGCAAAACGAGGAGACGTGTTGTTTATAGTGCTATGAGAATTAGTGACTGGTATATACATTGTTAATCACATGGACAAGGTAACTGTCAGTTCGAACGTCTTATGTGTTATAAATAAGCCATTCCTATTATAGCGTTATACATTATAAATGTTTCACCTCGTAACAACACTGGCAGCATCCAACGGAAATTGTACAGAATCAGCCACTCAAAGCGAGATCATTGCATGGGCATCTTTATGACCCTTTTGCTTATGTTAACCCAATTATCCGAAGTATGTTTATAATGTGTGGTAAACCTAATTGTCAAAGGGGTACTTAATTACATAACTATATATAGAACTCCGTTTTTGGTCCATTCGATTGATTAACACATTTATAATACATACACACATATATTAAAACGTGAAACAACGGTGAATATATTTCTGCAGAAAATTAATTTTCAATAAATCCTTACATGCTAAATGAATCCAATTTTAATCATCCAATTTCTATTTGCGTAAATTACTTTTCATTATATACAATGATGAAGTTCTGAGGTCAGGGTTAGAATTTTTGTTTGTTTGTTTGTTTGTTTTTGTTTTTGTTCGTGTTTATTATTTATGGGTTTACTTTTAAGCGAAGAAATCTTTTAAAGCTACCTTTAATTAACTACCTTTAAAATATAATTATGGTAAACAAGGATTTAATACAAAACGTATAAACATATGCCATATAACAGGTATTTTTCGCGTTAATGAAAAAAAAGTGAAGATAACGAACAGTAATCGATCTCAAAAAAAATCTACAAAAAATACAAATCTGTGAACAGGAGATAAAACACGGTCCCCTGGAAATTCCAGAGGTTAAACCAAGTACCTAGCAGGGATAAGTCTTCCTTGTCGACTGGTCACACCAGCCGTGAGTCCCATGTATTGATCAGGTTGACGGAATATTCCATAGTTAAATTTAGTTAAAAGAAACCAAAGGCCTAACAAATGGTATGAAATATGTCAGATAAAATACGTTACAATCATTATTGCGACCATAGAATTTATGAAATGCTGACTTTAAACGAGGTTGGTGAAATCCCCGTAACATCAACTTATCTGTCAGTAGCCTGCCCAGTTTAAAAATTGAGAGTACTCAGAGCTTGCTCTTGAGTATCAAATTAGTTTGGAGACATAAACACCATATGCAGTTGTTGTTATTACATAAATAAGGAAAGTTGACAATGGAAAAGCTGAAATCATTTCATTTGTCATACAGTTTAGCTGTTAGTTGGCCCTTATCGTCTGTAGTCAGCAAAACAGCCAAATATGAAACAGATGTGGCAGACTCTGTGGTGCCTTTAATTCAAGTTCACTGGATCGAGTCGACGTATGAATTGAATTAACTTAATTGTTAATTGATAAAATGTCGTCGATATTTCTGTGTGTCGAGTTGAAGGCCACAGCAAGAGATTTCTTTTTTTCTAATGTAGAAGTGTTTGAATAAATTCTGCTTCATAGGAATATGAAAACAGGTCGGATAATCCAATTTTCGTTTTATTTGCAAGCATATTTAGATCCAAAAAAATCACATTATTTTGTAACCAGTTGTTTACCATTTAGATTACATAGATAAGTCTTAAGAACCACCGGGACAATAGCAAAAATAAGAGTACGCAATTTAAAATAACAGTGTTTTAGAATATTTCCGCAGAGATTGTATTCGATGGATTATTAAAATAACTTTCAAAATACTTATAAGTATTTAAAAACGTAAAGATAAACGTTAAATGAATATTTTTAGATCAATTGAGTCACTCAGATTGCCTTTGTTATCTATTTTTGTAACGCTCGCTCCGTGATAGGAAGGCCGCAATTGGTACCCGTAGATATTCCGACAGATTGTTGTCTCCCAAAACTACATAGATACTAGTATTGTCAATCAGAAACTCAAGTATCTTTTTATTGTCAACTTCAGAGTACTTGTGTGTGCAATCAGAATGTTTTTTAAACAAAATAATGTTGCAAATGACCAAGAGCAAGGCAAGTAAATTTACAAGTTCCATTTTTATTGAAAAAAAAACAGCTGTCAGTGATGTCAAAAAGCCTAGACTTTAATTTATCGTGAGGAATGGTTGTATAAAGTGTTGAAAAGTCGTACGTTTTGATTTTATTGATTTTGGTAAAATATTGTGCTTTCAAATTTTCTAAAAGTTCCTTGAAATTTTTAAGTATCCACATCTGATTTACTTCAATTAATTAATTAAAGTGAATTTTCTCTCTCGGCTATTCACATACGTTAACCTTTAAGAGAGGTAGTTACATTTAAGTATAAGAATATGCTCCTCACTGGTTTTACTTTAATTATTTGATGAAAATTAATGTATCATAAAACTGTTTTAATCAATATTGATGTTTCTTCAATATTTACTCTCATACATGAATACTTAAGATACCTGATGAAATTCTGGATATACATGTGCAACGTTGTCAAATTTACGTTGCTCATCATGCATATGCTCATTTAATGCAAACTATGTAAGAATATACGAACCCTCTGTTGCTGTAATGAGAAGCTTTTCATCTGTACATGCATTTTACTACTTTTTTGGAGTCTCTCACTTTAGTTCTCCTCTTTCTTGAAAAAAAAATGTTTTCTGTTTTGTTGTGATTTTCTTTGTTTCGACAACCGCGATAACATCCATATCGTTTCCGGAAAAGTATCTCTGCATTTTACAGAATTATAGAATTTAAAACGAACAACATGTTCAATATCTACTCGCGCTGAGATTTTAAATTTAAACTTAAGTGTCAAACACAATATCCAACAAGATCAAAACATGTAATGGAAGTGTTCTCTTCCTAAACACAAATTTTACAGTGATATACGACCATCTGACAGACAAGATGTTACAGGGTAATTATGATGATGATACTGAGCCCTCTACCAAAACTTATGGCCCTCGGTTCACGCGCCAGGATGATGCAAAGTTGGTCAAGTGTTGAAAGTACATTACATCTTTGAAAGCCTTCATTAATTTTACTAATGGGCTTCTAGCACAATAATTGTGGGCATGATTATAATGAGCAGATAGCTCTCTCAAAAATTATAAAATTCATTTCCTCCAGGCTCTGGACTTAGACTCCAGGGTGATACTAAATTGGTAATAAATTGAAATTTCTTATCTACATTGAACCTTCCCTAACTTCTAGAAGATAAGAAGCATAGATATGTAAATGATTATAAACTACTCACAAAACTGTAACATTTTTGTCACATGAGCTGTCAAAGTTCTATTTCCGGGTAGGGCCAAAGTGGTCATAGCCCGAGAAAATCGGGTGAGAGATAAGGTCCCTGAGCCTTTGGTTGCAATTTACATACTACAAGTCTCAGAAATATACTAGCACATACATATGTTCATAAAAGCGCTAGTACAACAAATTTTGTGTGAGAAAACTAATTACTCAGTGTTTTATTAGTCCCCTACCGGTGAAACCGGAGGGGACTACAGGTTTCCTCTGAGTCTGTCCGTCCGTCTAGCTGTCCGTCTGTCCGTCTGTCCCTCTGTCTGTCTGTCAGTCTGTCCCACTTGGTTTTCCGCACTTGCAGAAATTATGAGCTGATTTTTGGTATGTGAGTGTATCTTGATGAGTTACAGATCAAGTTTGCATTTCGTTCCGCTTCAATGATTTTTGTCGGAATTACGACCTTTTCAATTTTTCAGGGTT